ATAGGGTCACTCAAATGATTCTTCTTCCATGAAGCTCAAAATACCTTTCTTTTTCATCCTTCAAAACAAACAAAAAGCCTAGACATTCTCCTTTCTTTGACTGCTGATAGCAACAACCACCAGGAATCACCTTATTATCTATCTCTGTTTGTAAGTGAGAGAGAGGATTAGCTTCCCTTGTGGGGTATAAAAGGATCACTCAAACACAGCTGTGAAAATGACACTTGCAGAGGCATATGAAATTAAAGGATTTATTATACTTACAGGTCCTAGACTCGTGGCACACCAGGCAGGGGGCCATGTGTGAGGAGCTCCCAGGGGGCTGGCTCACCCAAGGACCAGTAGGCAAAGCCTTTACTGGAGATAAGGTGGGATTACACAAGCAAAAGGCATGAAGGATTTTCACTGAACATCACTAGGTCACAGTCAGCAGAGGGCAAGAAGAGGAACTGGTGGGGAGGACCAGTCTTATCACACTGGTGCACCTAGTTGCCTGGGCAGAGTGTTCAAAGCCTATTTGTGGGGATTTTGAGGCATCAGGGAAAGATGAAGTTTTCAAGATTTACAGTACACTCTCATGTTACCAATCTGACTAGAAACTCCTCAACTCCCAAGAACAGTGTGATCAGCCTTGGAAATCACTAGAATTCCTGGCACAGTTCCCTAAATAGAGCAAAAGTACATTAGATACTATTTGGACTGAATTCCAACTTTTAAAAACTTTTCTCTGGGAGATGGTTGGTTTTAAGCATACAGGAACTCCTTATTCATCTACTCCTTATTTTCTTTTAAAAATGGCACAGACTGAAATATAATTAATATATCAGGAAAAAGGCACTATCGCTATCATCATTTTGTTTGTATCTCATGATGAGTGTTAATTTTAGATTATTTTTCTAATCCTAGCTGACTATTGTGAGAAGTAGCACATAATTCTAAATAAAGATTGGCTGCTTTTTTAAAAGGGAAAGAATAAAATTGAAAAATAATGGTCAGGCTAAGAGTTTCAATGAGAAACATAAAGAGGCTACTTAAATGTTGCTCCTTTCTACAGCTCTAAAGGCGAACACTGTGGTCTAATAATTTACACTTTTCCTTTAAGAGAAAATTCTACAGCCCACTGAACCTAATTATACAGATTATCAAAGCATAACCTCACATAATCAAGCATAAACCAAATAAGTTTCTAATAAATGTCAGTGAACACATCATTTATAAGAATTCATAAAACTCTTACAAAAGAACAATAATCACCATTTAGTGCTATGGTGATTATTTTTCGGACTTCTAAAATACACCTAAAAAAAAAAATAGCATGAGTGGTAGCTCATGCCTATAATCCTAGCACTCTGGGAGGCAGAAACAGGTGAATTGTTTGAGCTCAGAAGTTCAAGACCAGCCTGAGCAAGAGCGAGATCCTCTTTCTACTAAAAACATAGAGAGAAATTAGCTGGACAGCTAAAAATATATAGAAAAAATTAGCCGGGCATGGTGGCACATGCCTGTAGTCCCAGCTACTTGGGAGGCTGAGGCAGGAGGATGGCTTGAGCCTAGGATTTTGAGGTTGCTGTGAGCCAGGCTGATGCCATGGCACTGTAGCTTGGGCAACAGAGTGAGACTCTGTCTCAAAATAAATAAATAAATAAACAAATAAAAATGCCTGATTCTAACTGAGTGATTTTTCTTTTCTTTTCTTTCCTTTTTTTTTTGAGACAGAGGCTTGCTCTGTTGCCGGGGCTAGAGTGAAGTGGCATCAGCCTGGCTCACAGCAACCTCAAACTCCTGGGCTCAAGCGATCCTCCTGTCTCAGCTTCCCAAGTAGCTGGGACTATAGGCACGTGCCACAATGCCCGGCTTTTTTTTTTTTTTTTGTATTTTAGTACAATGGAGTTGGTATATATTTTTTAATATATATATTTTTAGTTGTCCAGCTAATTTTTTTCTATTTTTAGTAGAGATGGGGGTCTCGCTCTTACTCAGGCTGGTCTCGAACTCTTGAGCTCAAATGATCTGCCCACCTGGGATCCCATAATGCTAGGATTACAGGCATGAGTCACTACGCCTGGCCAAGAGTAATTTTTCATTACATCCAATAATTGACTGACTTAACAGTCTATTTTAAAAATTAAACGCCGTCCCCCCCATGCCCGAGAATAACATAAATTTTAAAAATCAAAATTAAAAAATCAAACGACAAAATATTTCACTAGGTATTGACAAAGATAACTACTTAATTAACAAAAGTTGGCTATCAAACAGAAATGCAAGGAAAGTTTTAGGGGGTTTTGTCATCTTAACTGAAAGGAAGGTTAGGGAAAGTCTAACCCATCTTCATCAATAGCACCTGAAGCAATTACCAACAGCATTTGCACACCTGTCCCCTTCCACATCTTATATTTTCTGGTCTCTTTCTGTCCCACATCTTCCTCTTTCATTCTCTCTTCCTTTAGTCTGATTCCCCAGGCTATACTGTGGGTAATTCTATAGATACTGTTTAGCCTTCCTGTAGTACTCATGGATTAAAAACTTTTTTCCTGACATCTGGAAAAGCAACAAACACACACATTATTAATTGGAAAAGATCCATCCACAACAATTGCTTTTTCCTAAAAGATATAGTAGGAAATATTTGAAAACCCCACAATCTTATTCAATTCATGAAGTTACTCAGAGTTCTTCAACTGATGAGAGATGAGTCTGCTTTTGTTTTTATCTTTTTTAGTTTTGGTTTTTGGAGACAGGGTCTCACCTTTATCACCCAGGCTGGAGTACAATATCGTGATCATAGCTCACTGCAACCTCCAACTCCTAGGCTCAAGGGATTCCCCTGCCTCAGCCTTCAGAGTAGCTAGGACTACAGGCGTACCACCACACCCAGCGAATTTTTTAATTTTTTATAGCCATGAGGTCTTGCTGTGTTTCCCAGGCTGGTCTTGAACTCCTGGCCCCAAGGGATCCTCCCACCTCAGCTTCCCAAAGTCCTAGGATTATAGATGTGAGCCACTGCACTGGCCTGGGACCTGCTTTATCAATCACCATCATGAATATTAGTTGTCTTCACTATGGTAACTAACATGCTAAGTTCCTAACACCATGGTAAGGTGGTTCACATGCATTGTTTCATTTAATCTTCATAATATATTATGAAGCTGGTTTTCTCCAATCTAATAAATGAAAAAAACCTGAAGCACAGACGGACATATTGTGAATAAATGGTGAAGCTGGGATTGAACCCAGAGTTCTTTGACTCTTAGTTTCATGGCTAAAGTATGTTACTTTCCTAATGCTCTTTAAGGCAAGAAGTATGTTATTCATTCTTCATCAAATATCTGGGTTTTATGAATACCTGGCACGGTGGTAGGCAATGGATAAAAATCAAATCTTAAATAGACTGACATGGTGGGCCACGCTTGAAGTCCCTGTCACTTGGGATGCTGAGGCAGAAGGACCACTTAAGCCCAGGAATTTGAGGTACAGTGAGCTATGATCATGCCACTGCATCTAGCCAGGGTGACAAAGCAAGACTCTGTCTCAAAACTAAAACAGACTGACAAATAATATCACAATAGCACTAATAGCTGAATACAATTAACACGATCATAAATCTGCTTATAAATCAATCTGGACTTGGCTGCTGAAAAGATTTCTGGAGGATTTCTGTACAAAAGACTGTAAGAAGGGTTACTTTTATATGAGGGTGTTCACATTACCATTTACTTCCTTCGTGTTTCTCCATGTTCCCATAAAGGCCATAGGTTCCAGACATTTTTTTCAGTATCAGTTATCAGTAACAACATTCATACATAATGGTATTGCATTTTGGTAAGATGGTATTTCTGTATATTATTATGACATGCCTTATCAACATCAAAGGTCACCTAAGAAGAGTACAGATCAGTAATAGTGCTGGAAACTATGCTCATACTTAAGGACAAATTGGCAATTGCTGCCCAGGCCAATAATCCTCAGGAATTCCCCTGGTCATGGAAGTCAATCAAAGGTGGTTCAAGAGCCATGTAATGATCTTCAGTGTCCACAGGGAAGAAAAGAGAAGGCCAAGATGTGTAGACTAAAGAACTCTAAGAGAATCTAGGTAATCTCTCCACATCCCCGTCACTGTATATTTAGGCAGCAGCAGGGTAATGCAGGGTAAAACTAAGGCCTTCTTCTTTACATAATCTGAAAAGTTCAGGGTCTGGACTGGAAGATCCTTTAATAGTCCACCCAACAACACTTCTACAAGGAGAAACTTCTATAGACTGTACTGTTGCTCTGATCCCAGAGAGCTGCTGGTGTTAGTAACCATTACCTACAATGTTTAAACCACTGGGCTGAAGTGATAGTATATGTTAACTTTTCTTGTGTACAATAAGGCAATATAAAGAAATTAACTGCTGACAATCACAGATTTTTAAAGCCACCTGAGGTATTTTATTTTTAAAGTTTTATAAATGCTGATTATTTCCTACCCATTCAGTAAATATCAAGGAATAAATGTACTTCTTATTTAGAGGTGAGACAACTAAGAGTTCATTACATGCATTGCTTATCTTAGCCCAGTTAAAATTTCCTAGTCCAAAATATCTAGAAGAATACCTAAGAACTTGGGGATATACACTGGAGGATAAGGAAAAATCAGAAAATGAGGAAATTTACAACTGCTACTATATGATAACAGAGTAAACCCATGATTCTTTCAAGAAGTTAAGATTTTTACCTTATTCTAATTATGTTAGAAGTGCTAATGAGTTCAAGGGTAAACAAAAAAACATAGCTATATTTCACATTCTACCACTTACCCCTTTGTCCGCATAATCTTGATTGATCCAAATTATTCTACAATTTAAGCATTTTTTTCTTGAAGCACTGGGCACCAATACCAATTACAGAGCCTATTTTCATCTCTTAACTAAAAATTACACAGAATACATGAAACAGATTTTGTGTAAAGGGTGATCTGATGCTCTGATTTAAAATGTCTTAAAAACATGTTAAAATACCTTTTAATAGGGACACTTTAGCAAGAGGTTCATTTAGGTCTTGGTCATCACATTTGGGCGTCTACAGAGAGAGAGAGAAAAGATAATTACAGATAGTACTTAGATCTATCAGTAAGCTATTATTATCAAAATAAGTAATTGGAATTTATATAGCTATTATATTGGAGAGTTGAAAGTAGTTTTAACAAAATATCTAAGATTTAAGGGAGTGGGCCAGGCACAGGGGCTCAGGCCTGTAATCCTAGCACTCTGGGAGGCCAAGGCGGTGGATTGCTCCCAGGTCAGGAGTTTGAAACCAGCCTGAGCAAGAGCGAGACCCGTCTCTACTATAATAGAAAGAAATTAATTGGCCAACTAATATATAGAGAAAAAATAAGGAAAAAATTCCGGGCATGGTGGCATATGCCTGTTGTCCAGCTACTCGGGAGGCTGAGGCAGGAGGATCACTTGAGCCCAGGAGTTTGAGGTTGCTGTGAGCTGGGCTGATGCCATGGCACTCACTCTAGCCTGGGCAACAAAGCGAGACTCTGTCTCAAAAAAAAAAAAGATTCAAGGGAATGACTTGATGAATTGAAGCACTGCTTTTTCCCCAAGCATAACTTTGAAATCTCTACCCCATTAATCTATATACCTAAAACTGCTAATAACATCTGCAGATTTGCAAACATTAGGTTAAAACTCACCTGTAGTGTCGTCACTGCTTTTTTCCTTGCTGGGACTCAGAGTATCTGATAAATCAGATTCCTTTGCTCTTGCCTGATTTTCTACCAAGAAAAAAATAAAAGTAAAATCTCGTTACAATTAAATATCTTATGTCGATAAAACTGCTTTAGAGGCCGGCGCGGTGGCTCACCGCTTGTACCTAGCACTCTGGAGGCCGAGGGTGGCGGATTGCTCAAGGTCAGGAGTTCAAAACCAGCCTGAGGCAGACCCCCCTCTCTACTAAAAATAGAAGAAATTAATTGCCAACTAATATTATATATATAAAAAATTACCGGTATGGTGGCTCGTGCCCTGTAGTCCCAGCAACTCGGGAGGCTGAGACAGCAGGATTGCTTGAGCCCAGGAGATTGAGGTTGCTGTGAGCTAGCTGACGCCAACGGCACTCACTCTAGCCTAGGCAAGAAAGCGAGACTCTTTCTCAAAAAAAAAAAAAAAAAAAAAAAAAACTGCTTTAGGTTATGAATGCTCAAATCTACTGATATGCAAAGAACTTTTTGTAAAACTAACTAAGTCCTGAATTTCTTACTTCGTGACTACCCTCTTGTCTAAAATGGAATGGGGTTATTACATGTAGCTCTTTAATTATAATGTGGGCTGTGTCTGCCTGTGTGGGCTTTTGTTCAAGCTATTCACTTGCCAACTGGAAAACAAAGGAAGCAAGCTCTGCTAAAGTATTCGAGAATAAACAACAAATATAGTAAGTAACCCAGGACAATTTAAAAGCATTGTAATACAGAATGAATGAAAAGAAAAGGTTCTTATACTATAAAACACTACAAAAGGCTTCAGTAATATTTACACACTCATATAATCAAACTCTTTTTAAAAAATCACAGTTTGTTAAAAGTGTCATTTAAAATAAGGAAATCATATTCTAAGGATAATATTAATCTCATACTACAAACACATAGAGAAAAAAACTTAAAAAAAAATTTTTGAAATTATTCGCAAAAGGTCCTCTCCTGGTCCAATGCAGATATCTTAGGCACTTTTTCAACTAATGCTCTAAAAAATCCTAATTAGGCCCAACAGATCATTAAAGATACGGCGATTAATACGCCCACGATTCCTCCACCGGTAATGCTGTCGGTTAGGAAAGGCATCTTACATAGGTCATTTCTCGAACCACAATCCTACAGCATTCCCCATTCTCTGTAAGTGCCTCAACAAACTCTACATGGCGAATTTGCCATAATTTGGTCCCTGCATTAATTCCCACAGAAGCTTTGTTCAGTCCATACCAGTTTCTTCTTCTTTATTTTTTGGAGACAGAGTCGCCACTCTGTTGCCCGGGCTAGTGCCGTGCCTGCAGCCTAGCTTCACAAGCAGCTCCAAATTCCTGGCCCAAGCAATCCTTCTGCCCTCACCCCCTCCCAAATAGGCTGGGATACAGCATGTTCACATGCCGTAATTTTCTATAATAATTTAATTGTCCACTTAATTCTTTCTATTTTTTTTAGCAGAGACATGAGTCTGCGCTCTTTGCTAAGCTGGTCTAGAACTCCTAAGCGCAATATGATCCTCCTACTTTCGGCCTCCCAAGAGTGCTAGGATATCAGGGCTTAGAGCAACCCGTGCTGGCTGTAGCTATGGTTGTTTAAAAATGCATATATTTATTTATTCAAGTCTGAAGGATCAACAACCAGTTACGATCAATAGTTACTTTTGGAAAGTGGGCCAACATGGTAGAAAAAATTTAACTTTCCAACTGTGACATAGCCATATACATTGTGGAAACATTTGTAGTGGAGTATATACT